GGGGGGGGGGGGGTGAGAGTATGTGTTGCGGAAAACATGCGTTGGTGCCTTGAAGTGGAGGAAGAACTAGAAGTGGAAAGTAGTTCAACTTGTGGGGCCCTCTGATGCGGGGAATTCGGGTGTGAATCGAAGTGTACAACAAAACCTTTCGGGTCAAATCGAATGCATCCGGCACCGGTGGACGTGGGTTCAGAGCATGGACTACGTAGTCGGGACGTACGCATGCATGTGTATGTGTGTTTGTGCCTAAGGGTCGATGAGGTGGGCCTTCGTAGTAGAGTAGAAGCCAACGTGCAGGACCGTCGACATACCACGGGTGGGAGAGGGCGAGATCGAGATGTAAAATAGCAGTACATGTAGTTCTTTTCATTCGAGTGCCTTCGGCATCGGTGGGGTTGGGATTAAAATAAATAACTTTACAAAAAATCGACGAAGTAGTTGCGAGAGATGTGCGGTTGATTGTGCCTAGGGGGTGAAGAGGCTTGGGCCTAGAGTTGCAGTTTAACTGTATGAAACCTTCAACTCTGAAGAGTATTCTATTTAACATAGGAGGCACGGGCGGGGGGGTACGCACGAACGGGGAGTACAATATTTTTGTTAGGACCAACAAGTCGGGTGCATTCAGTACCGGAGGTTTGGTATAGGCTGGGAACAATTGTGATAGGAGGGGTGGGTCACAATCCCATTTTATCTTTTGCCTCTGTGCTGGTTCCAGCCTCAGATATCGTATCATGTCAGGCTTCGCGCGTACGGCAGAAATGGGAGTAGAGGAGCCGGTGATTATTATTTTTTTTTTGCTCGCGTCATTCGTCAACTGACAGGCGTGCGTGCACATGCTGTTCAGTGTGCACAGACTTCGAGAGGGACAATTGAAGCGCTCGTCGCACGCTTCCCGTTGGGATCAACATCTTCCGTCTCTTGCCCCTTGATTGCACCATCCCAACGCCTTGTCTTGACATGGTGTCTTGACATGTTATCTTGGCATGATGTCTTGACATGACATCTTGGCATGATATTTCTTGAACCGATGAGTTGTAGGCCAAAGTGTCCTACTCGCACTGCTCGACATCATCGTGTTGATTGTGGTTCGTCGACCCAACATACCATAGTCTATGCCGTTGTGCGAACGAAAATTGAAACACGCTTATCGCCTGGGGGTTTCAATCGTATAGGTGTGATTGCCAAACATAGACCTGCGGTTTCGTGCATACCAAACTGCTCTCTCTTTTCGATCGACCGCGATTGATTCATAGCACTGCTGCGTTATGCTGATCCTCGTCTGACATACAGTAGTATTGTCCCTCCCCGTGTTTATTGCAGGCTCAACAAGAAAATTCGGTGGACCCAACGGCTCTGGGCGAACTGCACTGCACGAGAACAATACGCTTACATCTTGTGGGTGGGTTTGTCATTTCTGCCGACCGCACCGCACCGATATTGTACCAATGCCGGGCAAGAAAGGCAGACTTCCGTACGATGCCAAGACTCAACTAGTACGTGGGGCTAGGCCTACACACTCCAAACAAGAACCGACACTGCGCAGAACACTACTCCAGTGCATGCACGCTCGGGGGGTAATGGTAGTGGTTACAAAGCCTAACCGTTGTGGGGCAAAAAAAAAATAAACACGACTGAGTCTCTCTTTACCAAGTGGTTCGGTCATGTCAATTTCCTCTTTACCAACCGGTCGCCCCGGTGGTCTAGGTGGCATCCTCACATACCCCATAGACTAGAGGTCAGGACCGGGGTTCGAACCCAGGCGTGAGCGAGCTTTCTTGCAAAGTGAGTTTTCTCTCGCTTCTGCTCCTGGTCTAGTGGATAGCGCTAGTTCGTGTGTACACAGAGGGAAGAGAGTTCTGAACTCTTCTCGAATAAAAAATCGAAGGCACAGTACCGCAGGAGGTGAAGGTAGAGAGGGGCCCTTCCGTGTGACCACGCGTTGGAGCAAAAACGGCACTAGTGCTGTGAGCGCTGATTTGAAGTGACAAAAAAAAACAGCTCCAGTGTACCAACCACAACGTGAACCATATGCTCCCCTTGATAACATACTCATACGCCACGGTTGCGGACGAGCATTGCAGAGAGAGCAGTTGTAGACCATAGCATAATCTTCGGCCTTGTACCCCGAAGCCTAAACCAACAGGCAGTGGCACTCCGATCGGAAACAACGTTGCTCCATGTAGCTTAACCCTTTCTTTCACGAGCCAACATTATCAACGTGAAAATCCAACCCACGACACCACCTCAGCCTATTTACTAGAAACCATTACGTAACGACGCAAAAGTGATGCCGTACCAACACCATTACAGGACATTCCGCATGGTGCATGCGATCGACTCAGCCAGTCAGGAAAAGTGGACGCCCCTTTCGTTGAAGGCAGACAGCAGCGCCAGCAGGTCGTCAATGTACATGCTAGCGGCCCTCCTCCCCTCCAGCGACTCTTTCTCCAGCGCGCTTTCCACCATCTCCTTCACCTCCGCTTCCGTAGCACCGTCCCCCCCGTCTCCCTCCTCCTCGTCGTCCATAGCGCCTACGGTAGCAACCGCACCCAGTATCACAAGAAGCAAACAAAGCATATGGCAAACACCACAGTGACTTGCGGCAACGGGTGATATCGGCATTGGAACCACACATCACAGGGACAGGCCAAACGTCCCAAAAACCTTGCCACGAGGGGTGCATGGTGTGCATTTGGAGAACACTCCACCCAATGAGACATAACACAACCTACCGATCCGTTTCCCCCTTCCGCCGCCCTGGTGATCGCTCGGTACGTGTTGACGTTTCTCGCCAGCAGCTGCGTTGTATGGGCAGATCAGGAGTGTTTCATGCGCGGGGGTCAATCATTTGTCAACAACATTCGACTTCGCAGTCTACATTTCGTGAAGTACGTCGAAGCGTTAGAGCATCGCCTTGTGAAGACTGAGACACTGGAATCATGCACGGCGGGGGGATGATATATATATAACAAAAATGCCAAGTCTCTTGCCGTGTACTCATCATGTCCTGCTTGCGCCTCAAAACCATCGGTAACGGTACCACATCACACCACAAACACACCTTGAGAGTGGCCTTGGTCGTCAGCGTCGCCTGTAGCGTCATGCGCTTGTGGTTGAAGATCACGCGGATCATGCTGTCCCACTCCGTGAAGTTCGCCGGAGGCGGCTCATTGTGTAGTTGTATTCGGACCGCCTACGCAGGATTTCAAGAGTGTCTAGAGAAAGAATAGGGAGGGGGCACGCAGACCCTATCCCTAACCCAAACCCTAACCCTACAGCACGGATTGGATACTCTATCCCGTATGTTTGCTTAATCAATTTTGCTGCGCATACTACTGTTCTATTCAGACCACGCGCGAGTACACCTTGGGAGGCGGACGGAATTGTTCCAATTTACCTGTGCTCGAGGGCGCGGGTACGAGTTTTTCGATCCCCAAGGCGGGTTTCGGGGACGAATGGGTGGATGTACAGAGGCGGGGCGAGGGGGAGAGTACCGCTGGCGCGCGATGGAGACAAAGGTAAAGAGAGCGGAGTCGTAACGGTTTCTCGTCAAGAGTGGTGCAACAATGAAAGTGTAGGGGGCCTTCATGGCGTTGCAGCACAGCCACATCCAGCATGCTGTCGTTTGAAAAGCGCGCACTACAACGAGGATCACGCCCTGTGCTACTGATTTCATTTTTCAACAACATATGCCACTCCCGGCCGTCCACTGCGGTCTGTATCGCCACAGACACCTGGCATGCAGCCACGGCAGTCGTAGCTGTGAAAACGCGATTGGCCATGTGTCTACACCAGCAGTACCGTATGACACCTTGGACTACAGCAGTAGGCTCAGGGGTGCTGGTCGACCTTCGCCAAGAGCTGCGTGTTCATGGACAGGCGGCACCACATGTCCGTGTTTGACCTTCCCAAAATGTACAAGATAATAGACGGCGGGGACAGCGGCGGTATCAATCAACACAACAGAGACACATGATGAACTCTGAAAAACATGCAACCACCGTTACCATTGCCGCTGACAGGAGCAGCAACGACAACAGCAACAGCAACAGCAACAGCGATACCAGCAAAGTTGACAATACGCCCCAAAACAAGAAAAGCAACACCACGACCACCACCAACAGCACCTGGACCACAGCTTAAACGCGATGCGAACGAGAACATGACGACAACACCAGCATCACAACAACAAGCAATGACAGCACGAACCAAGAAGAAGAAGAACAAGAACAACAACAACGACGCACCTCGCGGTATACTTCTTTGCGCGATCTCCTTTTGGCACATGATCACCGCACATCGGAACATTGGGCGGTCCGCCAAGAGCAGCTCGATATCTGAAAAATAAACGAAACGACACCATAAAGCAGAAACAACATGACTCCGCAGCGGTCATCTGGGGACTTCAAGTAGACCATGCAGCTCCGTCGTACCCACTAAACAGCACCTTTAAGGTGTGCATAGTGTACAGTGCCCTTCGTACAGCAGTGTGCTCACCAACGCGGATGGCAAAGGTCGCTACAGCGGCAGTACCCCCTCTGTATCTGTTGCTCACCACGCGAATCAAGTGTTCATTGCATTA